ATCACTCATCGCTCAAATATTTCCGTTGTAAACCCGTGATGAAATTGTGCCACTGATTGGACACAAAAAATATCCTCGTAACTAGGAACTGATGACGCAGATAACGTTTGTTTGAGATATGAGATAGAATGATATCAAGATATTCTTTTCAGTGTAGTGTTATGATGTGTACGGGTATGGTGTGAGTGTGATTGTGACATTAGCAGTCTGAATGTGTCATATTTCAGCAAGCATTACGTGAGAGTATGCGGGATGTACCAGCCGGCTCCGAACTGACTGAACAAGAGGAAGAAATGGATCGTCAGTTGCAACGTGCCCTGCAAATGAGTCTCGAGCAGAATCTACCGGATCCGTGTACGGTGGCCGGTGGCTCGGGACTATCCGGTAACACGACCAAACAACTGATTAGTAGATTTGAGAAATCTGGAGAGGTTGAGCGGTGTTCTGATCCTAAAGTATCGCTGAGTGCTAAAGAGTCGTCTTGTGAAGCCACTAGCAGTAGTTGTTTCAGTGGAACTAAGATTGTAGGCGGATGCATTAAGAATCCGAAAGGTTTAGTTGACACCGATGAATCAATGGATGTAAAAGATGAAGTGGGTCCAGATGGTGCACCGAAACCTGCGGATTCCGAAGAAAGTGCATTCAGAAGTGCAGATTCATCGGAGGTGCGTAAACAGCGTGAACAATTTTTGAAGCGTTTCGATAAGTAGTAGGTGATCGACGGACATAGAAGTAGTCATGATTATTTGTGGCGGAATTAAAACGAAATTTCTTCATTCTTTGACAAAATTATGAATGACAATTTTGAGGGAATTCTGTCATCTGATTCAGCAAAAATTTTGTGCAGATTTGAATCAAAATTGTTGAGGAAATTTTATTGATTCATAGATTAATAGATGTGGGAATTTCGGTTTAAGGTGAATGATTAAGAGAAGGCAAAATTTGAATGCGGATGAATGAATGACTGCACGTGAATAAATCATATTTGTCACAGTTCTCACTGTTCGATATGTTCGATATTGACTTATTTATGTGTCTTCGTGCAGCATCTGATAGAGTGCAGAATTTCGAATTGCTTATGAGATTCTGAGACGAGTGCTTCCCCAAATATGCTCTGATCATCAGTTTTTAATCTAAACATTCATATATATTGCTTCTTCCTCATCGTAGAATATTAACATGCATAATATGGTTATGCTCATTTATGAAATTGTTTTGTTTTGTTTGTGTACAATAAGTAATATGCATTGCTTTCTGAAATAAATGACTGAATTATTTTTTGAATTGTTATTTTCAACTTTTGAAATATTTCATTTCGCGTTGGTCTGCTACACAACAGTTTTTGTGTGTAAAACCATGGCCTGCGTGTGAAGCAAAGGCATTATACTTATCTGTTGTGATCTTTCTTTTATCGATAGTTTTCTGATAGAAGATTGTTGAGAAAGTCATTTGTTGCTGCTAATTTGTTATGCAATTGAGTTATTTTGAATGTGTGATATTTTCATCTGAATTAATCTGGATTATTGCTGATTAGGAGAAGAAGTTGAGTGGAGTGTGTCGATTGTGTGATTGAGCCGAAATGACTGTATAGGAATATTCGGTTATATGTCAGTCAGCTGGCGGGCGTATTATGGCAACACTCTCTGAATTGATCACAGCAAGCGACGATACACCTCCGTCATCACAACTTGGCCAAGCAGCGATCCCTCATCATCATACCGGTTTGTTGAAATCGACTTTTATTCATCACCCGTCTTTTTTTGATTCTCAAGTACTACGTATCTAGCCGTGTAGGACTGATTGATTTCTTAAAAGATATTTGAAATCCTCATCTCCTATAACTGATTTGATCAGAACTTACACTCTTAATCAACTCGATATGTTTGCCATATGTCGAAAAATTGGGGCGAATATGTAAGAGTGACGAAGTTTCAAAGTATGTTTGAATTGATTTTACGGACCGTCATGATCAGTTGTTTATCAATGAATTTGATCACGTAGAGTCGGAATAAACTAAGTGTGTATGGAAGTGATTTCGAAATTAAATCATTTCAATTCATCCAGTTGTTTTCAGGTGTCAGTATGCAACAACCCGGTGGAATGCTATCAGCCTCACAACAACAACAACAGCAGCAGCAACAACAATCGTCATCATCGAATTTGATGCGAATGCAACCAGATGAGACGGCGACTGGTAGTCCTAACGTGGATCGAATGCCTCAGCTGAAGCAATTGATGCTGAGTGCAGACGAAGATATTACTAGACCGTCACAAACATTCCCAGCGCCAATTGTACGTGATGAAAGAATTTGCACTTGTTGTTTTTTTGATCATCCAGTTCTATTCGATTACATTTGGAATGAACATTTAAAAGGTTTCACCGAAATATTTCGATTGATATAAGTGAGTGTATTTTGATGATGTAATACGACTAAGATTGTTGATGCATCAGACTATTTTTGAATAATGTTCAGCGAACGGCCGAAGAGTGTGTTGATGATCTGCTAAGTGAAGGCGCTCCACCAGATTCTGCACTGGGTCAAGCGGTTGATAATTTGTTCGTTTCCTGGAATCAATTGATTCTCGATCTTTCGGCACGTCCCGGTTTTACAGTACCCACAGCCGAGCATATCAAGGAGGTGGCCGAATGCACCATTCGACAGGTAATGTTGATTTCTGGAATAATGATAGTATCACTTATAATAACTATTATTATTATGACAGTGTAATAAT